AGCTGTCTAAATTAGGGTAATAATAGTGCTTTATTACATACTCGAATTTGTTTTAGTAGTTCCAGAAAATTATGAACACCCCCCTTGAAAAAATTCTGTGCACGCCACTGCTTGTATGTACATTCAGATAAAAATAAAATACAATGAAAATATAATTTTAAAAAAATGTGTAGCTTTCCGAATTTTTTTTTTTTTTTTTTCAGATTTGAAATCCTCACCACCCGAATTAGATAAGATCAAATACAGGTAGATCAAGTCTTTAAATGCAACAAAAATTTCATCCGTGGTGTAATTAAACAGAGAGAATAAATAAATATGAATTAAGCTTCTATCATATTTTTAATTTTTGGAAGCATGTCTCAAAAACTGATTTATAATGACAGAGATGCCACGGGCGACTAAAAATGTAAAAAGAGATAGAAACTCTATTCATTTTATTTAATTATAAAATAAAATTTGTTTGCCTTCACTTTCAAGAGTAAACTAAAAAAAAAAATTCTAAAAAATTTTGCTAATTTTAATCTTTTTAAATAAATTATTGTATTTTTACTTGATACTGGAGTTCCCTTGTCTTCTGGATTGGAATCAAAAGTAGAAGGCTACGGAGTTGAACATTAGCAGTCGTAAACCCAAAATTGGGTTGGCTGTTCAACAATGGTTATAAAAAAAATTTAAAAATACTCTTATGAACACCACCACTTAGCGGTGACCATGTTTCCGACCACTGGTTGCTATGCAAATCTGACGTCTCCTACCTCCCCTTAAAGTTTATCCATATAATCCTAAGACATCTTGTAGAGTAGGAAAACCATATTTTAAGTAAAACATATAACATAACGCGCAGCATATAAAACTGCTTACATACTTGGTGTTAGTTAACTAACAAAAATGATCTGATAATATTAAACTCTAAAAAAATCTTTAAAGAGTTGTTTTCAGCAAGTTTTTTTTTTCATTATCCTGTATAAGTTTGAGATCATGGAAGCTGTTACAAAATAAAATATGCTATTTTTTTTATTCAATTATGAATCTTATAATCATAACCTATTTAGAAAAACCCCGCTCATTATCGCTTGGAAGACACTGATTGGTCGGTAGTGTTCCTTGTTGTAGAGATGAATATTCGACACTAAGCAGTTATCCAATATGATGTCACACAGGCAAATGGCTGCTGCGCATGCGTCATTATATTTATCTGAAACTAAAAACAAATTAAGTATTTTTTTTCGAAAAATTCACATTTTAAATAGCTTTAGTAGAGTGAGAGGAAAGTTTTTGCGTTTCTAAATTATGTTATTATTCACAAAATATACACATATGAGAAAATATTGTACACATATCATACAAAGATTTAATATTTATTAATTTAATGACATCACTTGACGAGTGAGACATTTAAGGCATTTATTTAAATTAAGTAAGAAGCGGTGGCAGAAGTATGTTGTTGTTATTTCAGAAAGACACAATGCCTTGAGAACTAACCAGAGACTTCGACTTTTTGAGACTATAGCAAATTAATTCTTATAGGAGTGGTGAACTAACGCAGAATTTTTTGAATCAAACAGATTTTTCTTTTTTAAAATTTGAACTTGAGTTTTTGTTGATATGACCTAATATGTATCTTTAAATTACTAGTGTTCAAATATATATATATATATAT